AAGAGCATTCTACTCGTCTGCGATATGTCGAGGCACGGAAGACGCGACAGCGAAAGCACAGGCGAAGGAAAAGCTGATTCCTGGGAGAAGTTTGGTGACGTGTTGGAATCGAATTTACACACAGCTAACAAGGTATACTGGCAGACCATCTGCCGGCTCCGAGGTGAAAAGAAGGGCATTCTAAGAGTCTTGAAAGACAGGTCTGGACACCCTCTTATCAAGGATGGTGACATTCGTCGGCGATGGAGAGTACTTTGAGGAACTCTTTAACCCAGAGCTACCGCAGGAAGACTCGCGTGTAGAGCAGCACCGAACGGATATTGCTATCTCTGTAGATGAAATTGCACAAGCTGTGAAAAGCTTGAAAAATGGAAAAGCTGCCGGAATGAGCGCAGAGCAGAAGGGTACGGATATTGCTATCTCTGTAGATGAAATTACACAAGCTGTGAAAAGCTTGAAAAATGGAAAAGCTGCCGGAATTGACGAGTCCGCCCTGAGATGCTCAAGGCATTAGACGAACAAAGCATGTGCTGGCTAACATGTGTCTGTCAAACTGCGATGATTGCGGGAAAGACTCCAGCGGACTGGAGAACAGGAGTTATTGTACCCGTATTCAAAAAGGGAGACCACAAGGAATGCTCCAGTTATAGGGGCATTACGTTATTGAGCCTCCCAGGTAAAGTCTACGCAAAGGTGTTAGAAAGGAAGTGTCGTGATATAGTTGACCTCAAGATCCAAGAAGAGCAGTGTGGCTTCCGGCCCGGTCGAAGCACCTCTGACCATACATTTGCCCTGCGCCAGATTGCTGAGAAATCGTGGGAGTACGCCCAGCCGTTGTACATGTGTTTTCTGGACCTAGAGAAAGCGTATCACCGGATCCCATGCAACAGTCTGTGGACATGCCTTTGTGCATACGGGATTGATGGTAAGTTGCTAAGGGCCATGCATTCACTGTATTTTGATAACAGGTGCTGTGTCAGAATTAATGGCGTTAAGTCGAAACCATTCAACGTTCGCACTGGTCTCCGCCAAGGCTGCGCCCTGTCCCCTAT